GCCTCTTGCCCACCTTGACACGACTTTCCTGCACCCTCTTTAACCCCTCATGCCTCAGGTGATACCAGCAGCTTTCTCCCAAGTCTTGATTCTCCACAAACACCTTTTAGCAATGCTTTCATTGGCGAATATATTTGAGTCAACTGTTCACACGTGTTGTAGAAACGTTTGCGCCTGGATCTGGCAAGGTCTCCCTCCTGGTGGGTGACAGACTCTTGAAGGAGAACCTCAAGGGTGGCAGGGTCACAGGACATTGAGTCCTCCATGTTTCTCCTAGGGCTCCAGCATGACAACACACAACGATAAAGCAGGAACAACTCCACTGCAGGGCAACGCAGGGGGTGCCAGCCCTGCTCTGAGCACTGTCCGGCATCACCAGGCCCCCTGCCAGTGCTGGGCACGTGGATGTTTGCTGTACAGCCCTCTGGGGAGCACGCAGGGACTGCAGATGATGTCACAGCCCAAGTCAGCCCAAGTGAAGGGTGGAGAGCATCCTCAGCTTCTCGGACAGGAACAGCTGGTGGTGGACAGTCAGCCATGTGCCTAAACAGACCTGTGTTTGATTAGTGTAACCTGCACTTTCAGTTTCATGAACCTGAACAGTCCTCATGGACTAGGCACAGAAATGTATGCTATGCAGTGCAGCAACTCTATGCGCAGGATGGACACGAGATGAGTGCAAGCTCTAAATAAAAAATGCAGTCCATGCAACAACCACTAACTGTTGTTTTTTTTTTTTCCTATGACAAGGGACAGACTGGAGTACCAGGGCCCAATACAGGTGTAGCACAGTTACCAGGACAGGCAGGCAAAAGCCAGTCCTTGTGTCCATAAAGCTCTGCTCCACAGGAAGTCTTGAAGATACACTAGTAATGCAAACAGACTTATCTGTTGGCCATCAGGACAGCACTTCAGAGTCAACACACCAGGGAGCATCAGGACCCATCCCCAAACCCAAAAGTCATGAAAAGCACAGGAAGAGTAACCAGTCCAGGTAGTAGATGCTGTGAATGTTCTCCTTCTCTGAGACCTGACGATTATGTGACATTGAAGCCATAGCCTTTGTCCCAGCTGATGAATGACCTGTATGGTGCTTGTGGTGGTTATCACTCATGAGCAGAATGACAGTACAATGGTGGTGCTGCAAACACACACCTATGTACAGCTCAAAATCAGTTCCCAGAAATACGTGAAAGTGGTTTTCTTGTCAACATTTGCAGACAGTGCAAATCGATCATGGGCTGTTCACAGAAAATGAGATGAGTACAAAAGAGGATAAATGTAATGGAAAGGCATTCATTTTATACATGAACTAATGTGCATGGCAGAGTTCTGTTAGGGCAAAGCAAAGCCAGAGTGCTTTATCCCCTGTCTCTATCCCCTCATTACTCCCCAGAAATACATAGACACAAAAGGACTGAGTTTGCACATCCAGCCCTCAGTCTCAGACTTCCCATCTTACAACTTCTTGATGTCACCAGAATAGCATTCACCTGTCATTAAATGTTCTGGCAATGCACATACAGGTATTACATACCAGTGTTGCAGAATGCACACATACAACCGAATCACCAGGACATTAGGTTTCAAAACAAGGCACGTAACGCCTTACTTCTGCCCCTTGATGCATACAGTCTGACACAAACTTTAATTAGATGAACAAATCGTGGGATCCCTGCCTCACCCAATGCATACAACAGATACTGTTTCTGAGTAAGGTACTGTCTAACATCTTATTTTCCTGTCATTGTCCAGTGGTTGTCTTCTCTCTCAGCATGGTATTAGCCCTTACTCAGAGACAAGTATTCATTCCCCATGGTCTTCTCTATAGCAGTCATGTTTTACAGTAGATATGAAAACTCGGATAATGCCTGTCAAGTGAGTGCACAACTTGTTTTCAGCTGAGAGTCAACTTGCAGGTCTCCATTTAATGTAGCTGAACTGAGGAACAAAGACATTAAAGATGGAGGAGTAAAGGAAAGAGACTGGAATCACTCATGTAAAGGGCTTGGTAATGGTGAGCAAAGACTCAGACTTAGGCCATGAAAACATCTACCCACATGAGTGGCAATGTACTCTTTCCAACAGACAAGACAAGTTTTTTCCAAAACATCCAGAAAAGGCATCAGGAGAAATTCAGGACCCAATCTTCAGCTGAGGACAGAACATGCTCGGGCTTCAAATGCTTAGCAATGCAGAAGCAACCTTGTCCACCCCATGCCACTACTCACCCTGACCAAGTGACTGTGCCCAGATTACAAGCAAAGAAGAATTAGGGAGGAGCAGCAAAACAGGGACAAAAAGGGTACTTCCTTGTCTCACAAGCCATGAGTCTTCTGGTAGAACACCTGGAGCCCTCCTTAGCTGACTAGCACAGGGACATTAAGAAGTTTTTTGTGACTAAATAAAATTAGCAATATTCTGCTTGCCCCTACTGGACTATATTTCTAATATAGCAGACAAGTAATGGATCACCAGCTCCTCTTACACATCTTGTCTATATGGGGAGGAGCATCTTTTCATTATTTTCATCTACAGAAATGGGTAAGAACTCCCTATATCCATTGCTGCCTGAGCTCCTAATGCACTGCCTTCTGAGTTCAGCCACGTTCTCAACTGCCAGGTTCTGGATGCATATCTTAGTCTACTACAATAATTAGCTGTGTTAATTACAATTCTGTTTTTCCTAGTCACATAATTAATTTTTTCAACCTGATCTCGTGAAAGGTCTCTACGCCCATGGTCATGGGGCTGGAACTAGATAATCTTAAAGGAACTGAAAGGACCTAGAAGGTCCATTTCAACCCAATGATTCAATATGATTCAATATTTTCTTTCTAATTGATTTCTTTAGCATCACTAATTGATCTGGACAGCTTCTCCACTTTTCTTGTTTCATGACATGTTTGCTTTATTACAAAAGAGGTAAAACATGACTGCTTACTAAAGCAGTGATCGTATCACATCCTTGTGAATCAGGCATTCATATAAATTACATGTGTTCATGCTGAAAATGTTGTATGCCACCAAAAAGAAAAACCCATCCCAAACAAATGTCAGCTCTTACCCATGGCCCAGCCTTCCAAAAGCAAATGAGAATGCTCCAACCTATATTAAAGCAAACAACTAGCAAACTCCATTTGTAGTTAAACTAGAAAAAAAAAAAAAAATCATGGAATCACAGTATCATTTAGGCTGGAAAAGACCTCATCAATTCAAGGCAGTTCTGCTAAGCCCATTTCACACATCATGATATTTTTTTTCTTAGAAATATCATTTCTCAGCATCTGTTTGACTTCTCAGACTGTGAAGTACCCTTTTTAACAAATTAATGGGCATATCTCCACTCTCAATGCTCTGCACAGACACTCTAGTTGCAGCTTCTTACATGGATCCAGGGAGATCCTTGCTCCACCAACAGCTGAAAATCACGAATGTGACAATCAGGAAACTTTAGCAATATCCTCGTTTAATTCTTCTATTCCTTCTGTTAAACCAATAAGACATTATCTATTTCTGCTCATTGCTGGACTCTGTCCCATAAGCTACAGTTCTGGATAACTCAGAAACTTTAGATTACAGAAAGCTAAAAAAGGATCTTCTTCCATCACCACTCTCTTTCACATGATTTTTTTTTCCACATATATAAGTTAAATAAGGATGAATGTAACACCATACAGCTTTTAAGTGACCAATATTGAACAGGCTTACTGTAGGAGTTGGCTCAGTGCCTGTCCTCTCCATTATCACTGGTGTTAGGGATGGGATAACCACCATCTAGTGGTATGCAAAGGCCATTTCACCTTCAAGAGACGCTTGGCTTTCCTAACAAGTCATGTTTTTGTTTTTTTTTGTTTGTTTGTTTTTTGATTTTTGTTTGTTGTTGGTGGTGGTGTTTTTTTGTCTTTTTTTTTTTTTAATTCAAATTGATTTCAGCATCTTCCTCATTCAAAAAGATAAACCATGTAAACTACAGAACCTTCAAAACTGGTGAAAAATGAATGACTATGAATGAAGTAAGAAATGACACATAGGAGCTTAAGGGCACAGGGAATTTCTGCTCTACCATTGACTTTCAGCAAAAGGAATTATTTTTTCCAAAAACATTGGACCAGTACATACTCCTTAATACTGAAGCCATGATGGTAGTAAACTACTGTGTTCCTGATAATCTCCAGTGGCCTTCAAATGTTTATATTCCTACAATGGAAATCACTGTTTGTTTACAATTTAAGGTATTCATGCACCTTGCTAAAAATCAGATTTAATATTAACAACAGAGATTAACAATGACTAATTACAACACTAAGTATATAAAAAGTAGCTGACTAGATCCAAATTGAAGCTGACAGCAATACTTTCATTTCTACATCCCATGACTGCAGCTAAATTTAAGGCTGAGGTCTAGAAACCAAAAGCACATAGATAGAAACAGCTAATCAATTTTTGCATGTGCTTCTGTATTGTGTCTGCTAAAATGGAACTTCGCCCCAAAATTAGTGCCAAGCCCTTCTGAAATGCACTGCTAATCTGTAGGTGCAATAAATTTACCTTCACATATTAATTGTGTACTTCTCTCAGCAAATGGCTAACTACATGCTTAAAAAGCCATTTCTGGATACAAAAACCGAATTTGTGTGTACAGTCAAGCTAACTCGGAACCAAAATTAGACATAGAGTTTTGCAAGCCTATTCCTTATTATCTGCATAGCCTGGGTTTGATCCAACAAAAGTATCAGAAGCTGTGAAGCTCTTTATGCCCTCATTTGATGTAACTGGCCCAGATTGGGTGTAATTTCATACCCAAACACTTGCTCATGTTTACATAACAAGTGTTTTCTGTCATTTTTTAATAGTCTTGGCTGAAGAGCTTGATACAACACCTGTTTCTCCATGTTTTTCTACTGCAACTCTGAGAAATAATTGTTTGTTGATTTCCACCAAGGAGGACTCTCATCAGAAAGCATATCTGGAAAAACGTTGAGTGTTTGGAACAGTACCTGCTCTGGTTTGATGGGCTCAGTTGTTGTGAAAATGTCAGAATAATGTTGCCTCTCGAAGACTCGATCCAACACTTCTAACTGCTGCTGGGTGAAAAGGTCTCCTCGCATCTGTTTCCGAAGAAAGTCTCTACCCGGGAGAGAATGGCCATTTGGTACTGGAGATTCCTGAATACCTTTCAAAGAGGACAAAGAAGACAGAAGAATAAATAGACATTGCAATGATGAGACCTACAGAGGAGTGTCCATTTAACCCATTAAATTGATGTGGGTACAGTATATTGACACAATAAAGAATCTTTGAGAGGAGGATACAAGCAAGACACACATTGCTAGAAGATGTACTGATCAGTTCTTTACTATAGCCAACTCTCAATGCAATTTGACATCAGTGATTTCACATATAATTTGAAGGCAAGACAAAGGCTTGTGGTCAGATCTTTTCTCACAGCACTTTTACGACAGTATTTGTGAACCAGTAATGGTTTAGATGCCAGAGGACATACCTACAACATATGATGCTAGAGCCACAGTCAGCTTGGATCATCTCCAACAGATCTGCTTTGCATAGTCACTCTCTATATCCCTTTCCTGTGATGCCTGCAAGTCTTCCTGAGCTCTGTCCTATATGAAGGTCTGAGCTACAGTGTACTTATGCCAAGAAACAGGGACCCTTAATCCATAAGCACATTCAGCTTGCAGTAACTGGCCAGTCAGCTTCCCAAACACAGACAGTAATAGCACCATACTAAAATGTGATGTCACTGGGATGCAGAGCTGCCACCACAACAGCCTGAGCAAGGCCTGATCTGATGCACTCTTTCCAGCTCACAATACCAATTTTATATTTCTGTATTTTTTTGTATTTCATCAATAGCATGAAGAAAGCCTGGGTTTCAAGGCACATTTTTTCCTCTATCTCTCCCCCTCCTTTCAGCAGGTTGGAAGTGACTGCCCATATCTCAAAAGCCATGAGACAAGTTAGAAAAATGTTTGGTCTGAAAAAACTCTTGGAATATGGGGCTTGCTTCAGTTTGCTTTGTTTGCATATTCACAGTGATTTTCTACTTTTCCTTCACCTGTCAATGCTAGAAATATATCTTTTATGTTCTGAAAGCTGAGGTCTGCAGTATTCCCAGGACTCCAGGAGGTGGAACTCCAAGAATAATAGTAAACATCAGATTTCCTCTCCAGATGGCAATACCACACTACACAGAGGAAGGAAAGATTTAAAAAATAAGTTCTTACTGCCCAGATTTGTCTGCAGAACCAGCGCTCAAAGCTTCTCAGGTGGCTTCTGCATCAAAATTTTTGAAGGCAAGTATTAAAGGACATCTGTGCTAAGAGACCTCACTGCTGCAGACACCAGTTTTGTCTCCGTATGTGTGCTGGCGATCGGTAACATGATCAATGTCCAGTGGACAAGATTTTTTCAAAAAGGACTATTGATTTGGATGGATTTTTCAGAAAACATTGTGCACCAGATTCAGAAAACAATGCTCCTTTAAGACAGGTCTCTGAAACTATGGGACCAACAGATGGAACTACTTTTTAAAACCTAGGTTAATCTCTGTAAATTTTCTTACACTCAACAGGCATTTGATGTAAGCATGTTAATATAGAAACATCCTCCTAAATTTTAGTTTGGTTGTTCAGGCAACAACAATGTTGTATTTACCTGCTTAGATGAAGTCAGGCAACTTACAACTTGAATAGACAATGCTGGCTTGTATAAAGTGCCAGGATCGGTTTATTACATGCAGAAAAAAATCTGAACCTGTCTTCTGAATAAAAAATCAAAACGTGTAAAAAGGTATGAAAAATATGAGCAGATATAAGAGAGCAGTCTATCTTTAAATTTGTTTTTTTGTTTGTTTGTTTTTGTTTTTTCCTTTAGTATTCTAAATCAAATAATATCTAATTGACATAGTGCTGGGTTTAGTCAACCATTGCTTATGAAATTAAAATTGTGGTTGCTAGCTGCATGGTAGCAAAAGGCTGGGGGGAACACTATCTCTGAACACAAAAGCGCTGGCTTCAAATTTCAGGTTAAAATAATGTTATTCTAAAGTTGGCATCAAAGTTAAAGGTTTTTACAGTTTTGGTTCAAAGTGGGTGAAGAAAGAGAGCAAAATGATCCTAGATACAGGACAATCTGGGAACTTAATATCCCAGAATCCTAGAATCCGAATATCCTGAGTTGGAAGGGACCCACAACAATCATTGGACTCAACTCCTGTCTCACCAGAGGACCAAAGGACCAGAGGACCCGTCTCTTGTCCCCCAGCCTACATACATCTAGGGCTGCCCCATCCCAGGTGCAGAATCTGGTACTTGTTAAACTTTATGTTGTTGGTGATTGCTTGCCCACTCCTCTAATTTGTCAAGATCTCTCTGCAAGGCCTCTCTACCCTCAAGGGCGTCAACAGTTCCTCCCAGTTTAGTGTCACCTGCAAACTTACTTACTGTACCTTCAAGTCCTGTATCTAAGTCATTTATGTATTTATGAAAATATTAAAGACAACTGACCCTAAAATGGTCAGAACCCCATCTGAAACCGGCTGCCAGCCTGATGTAACCACACAGTTATGATAACCCTTTAAGCTTAACCCATCAGCCAATTGTTCACCCACCATATTACGCTTTTATATAACCGCATTCTGGTCTTTTTGTCCAGAAAGATACTGCGAGAAACAGTATCAAAGCTTTTGCTGAAATCCAGAAAGATTACATAACAACATACCAGAGAAAACTGCATGCAAGCCCATGAATGATGTGCCTCACTGACACAACACTGGCCCATTGGAAAGGGATGAAAAAAATGACAAGGTAGTGGTAGAGCTTCATAAGGTTTTGAAATTCAAGATCAGGGTCTGTTATGCTGCTGGGAGTGCAGTGTAAAGAGCAAGCCACAGAGGGCTGCCCCCCACTACACTGTCAGGACACCTGTGTGTGTCAAGGTCTCCACATGCCATCCCAAGGGCCTGAGGAAGGATCAGTCTTTGAGGCATGCTTCCCAACACAGCCTGCTGTTGCTGAAGTGAAGGAGCAATGTGTTTGCTGTCAGGGAGACACCTGGGCAGAAATGAGTCAGGGCTGAAACTCTGAGGAGAGCGGGTCTCTGTGCTGAAGATTATGCATTTTTGTCAGAGGAGCTTGGCAACGGCCCTTCACTCACCCTCTTTACTGCTCTCTCGCTGTATCCCATCAGCAAAGGGAAGAGTTTGTTCTTTTTCACTATGTTTCCTAAACTCTGACTAATTGCAGGTAGCGACTGGATTTCACTTCACAGGTAAAGGACTTTCTATATGCTGCGCATGACATATAAAAGTTCGTGAACGTCTTTAGGATACCTTTGGCTATTAGACATTATATAAGTGTGAAATAATTACCATTAGCATTATGTATTGTTTGAATACATTAGAACATCTTTGATAATTAAAATACCATAGGTACATTTGAAACAGTTTGAGTTATAAATAGGCTCCAGGGAGAGGTAAAACATTTTTTGTATAATCAGTGGATCCACCTAGGAGAGTTCTGCTTTGTTGACAGTAGCACTACAAGTGTACGCATCTACTCTGCAAAACAATTAGCTCCTCGTCCAATGGCATCCTTCCAAAAGTGCTAATGAAGAACACAAATATAGTAGTCTCCTTAACAGAAAAAGACATTCTTCCCAAACAAATGTTTCAACCTTTACCTCTAACAGATCATATAGATGGGTCAAGATTGTGCCATAGGACCACAACTTTCTGAACAAACTTGGATGTGATGCACTTCCCTCCCAACACAAAGCCAGAAGCCCCTTCCTATGCTTACCCGAAGTCTGAATAGCTTAGGAAGAGTTAAGCACAGAACAGATCCACCCCTGGGAAGAGGTGCCATGATCAGACTTGCTGACAAAAGGCTGCCTAAATTGTGTAGATTTCATCCAGAAATACTGGGTCTTCGTTATTTAAGAGGTAGTTATTTTCTGGGGACCAGCAAATGGCAAGATCAGTTTAAAGAACCTGATAAACTGTGACTCAATTTTTTAGCATAATTTTATGGTTAATTACTTTTCCTTGACATGTCTTCTGAAACCACAGGAGAGATACAGAATTGCTAAACATGCCTATAACAGATTTTTAGCTATACTCACCATGGAAATCACTTATTTTAAAATGGTATTTTGCTTATACATGTCTAAACCATGGGTCAAAGTAAGGAGAACAAATGTCCCTAGGCCCTATCTTTACAAAACTCTAGAGCATTTTTAAAGCCCTACAGTCCAGCATAAAAGAAGAGAAAAAAAAAAAAAAAAAGGGAAAAAAAGAAGGAAAAAAAAAAAAAAGGAAAAATATGAAGACATCAATTAAAAAAAACAACACTGGAATAATAAAAAAGATCTATTCTATCATTCTATCTTGTCTTTTTCATTCAGAAAAGGAAAACAGCACAATTTAATTACTGCATTATAAAGCAGCACTGTGAAATAGCATGAGATAGATTCTCCATTGGTCTAAACGAGTGTAGCTTCAGAAAAGGATCTAAGCCAGGTGACAGCGACTGAGAAATTGGTGACATGCACAACTTCAGCTGGAATAATATCTTCAGTGTTATTAATAATAATGATGTACCATGAAGTGCACATCTTAGTGGTACACTTGCCTGGTGCAAAGAAAATAGAATCTTCTGCTTTCAGGTTTTTGGGTTGTTTTCTTTTTTAAACAACTTGATTTTACAGGGTTAATCAAGGAAGTCAATAGCTAGTGCAATGAACATCCCACATTCATAAAGGACGTGGTTTCTGTCTCTAATTTGTACTGTCCAACTTCATTACCTGGTATCATACCTAATTACTTCACCTTATAGGGAAATGCAGGCTAATTAGGAAGGATGTTATTCACCACATTTAAAACATGATGAAGCAAATGAAATATTACCAGGAGGTAAAAAGGTGATTTGTTTCCTTGTAGCATGCCTGTAAATTAGTCCAGAGTAGATAAAGACTTTGTTTAATTACCATTTGGGAGGCTTTGTTTAAAATGTAAACTGAATTTTCACTCCACCTTCTCAGGACTGTGTGCATTTGGCAGCAAGCAACCTCCTGGTGCTCCTTTTAAAGCAGTATTTTCAGAATTATATATACTGTGAGAGACCTTTGCATTTACACCATTTGAGTTTTCTAAGCATTGTTATTTATTTTTTCAAGGGACAGTATCACTAAAAAGAAACTTTTTATTTTGAAGTGTATATAGCTGATCATCGCACAAATATTTTCAAGAGAAATCACTATATTTCACAAAGATGGGTATGGGTTTTGTCGTAGATCAAAGTGAGAAAGAGGGGAAGAAAAGATAAATCATCAGAGATCCAAAAATACTTTTCATTTGGAGAAGATATCAGGCCATTTCGATGGCACTGATAGAGTCTCTGCTCTGTCTCCATTACCCACTGAAGGCAGCCGGAGTCAGGAGCTGACTACGCTAGATTATATTCCCTATAAGATGGTCACCAATATATATATATATGATCTTCAACCTCTATTGATTGACCAATTTCACAAGCAAAGACTGGTGAAATGAAGCTGAAATGAACATCATGCTTTAACTCATTGAACCCATCAGGCCTGAGTTAATCTCACTGCCCACTGTCTCTGATAGAATTCAATTGATCAATCATGTTTCGGTGATAGTACCATTTCAGTGGCTTATTGCTTCTTCATTTCAAAGCTTGACCTGTTAGATATACTTGGACCAGCTCTACTCTTCTTGGAGACACAGAGATCAGCATCTGCCTACTGCAGCATATTGTCTTGCATCCAGGCTTGAAAAGAAATGGGGAATTTTTGCTAAACACTCCCATCTTAGCACTGTATTTTTACAGGTATTTTACTGATTTTACAGTCAGAATGGCTATAAAAACATGAAGAGACCAAGTAATCAGAATTCCCTGCCACCTGTCAGCTCAGTGCTGGCTCTCATTCCCACACTGCCCTGTATTTGGGCAAATGGGCAAAAGACCGGATAAGTGACATTTCCGGGCTCCATCCTTCAGGTACAGCACCAGCTGCTAACTGACTGGTGTGCGTGCCCTGCAGTACGTGTGCTTGTTTCCCTGGGGAACAGGTCCATGGCTGAATAATGCCTGGTGCATCCGCAAACCCAGAGGTAGGGCTGGCAGGGGGCAGCTGGGAAGGTCGCAGCTTGTGACAGCCACGGGCTGGAGCAGGATTACTGGAGTTACGTAGTCCATCCCCATGTGTTCTTTCATTTCAAATATGTGGCCAGCCTGACTACACCCTGCTCACTTTCACCCTGCACTTTGCTCTTGTACAGGCGCCAGGAACAGCAGGAGCATCCTGAAAAGGGCAGGGGAGGTCCCTCAACCCCAGGGTGGTATCCACGCCTATACAGCCACTGCTGCATTTTGCAGCATTTCTGCGAAATGGAAGGACCAAGACAGAGGTGGTTGTGTCACAGGCCTCTCAGTGCTGCTCTTCCTGAAATGCTCAACAGCAAAACAATCGCCACTTTTATCATCAAACGGCCACCTCCGGTCTTTTGCTGAGAAATGATGGAGCTTCTCTCTACTGTAAGAACATTTCTCTCACTCATTAGGACACCTGGAGGTCATGCCTGATGCAGAAGCTACAGCCTTGCATATATGCCCACGAGGTACCACCCTGCAATGTTGTTGTGCACCCAGTCCACAGACGGAGAACTGTACCACTAAACCGGTTACAGGCATCACTGAAAATGGGGCTACACTGAACAGAACAGATTTCCCATGAGATTACAGCTCATTTTCCCCTACAGTTATTTTAATTCTACAGTAGCCACATAGAAATTTTATGATGTATCTCTTAGTTTATGTCAGGAGAGGCGTGCCATTAACGCCCATCCCATGCTTCTAACCAGTGGTCAGCTAAGGCGTGGTGGAGCCCTCACACCTCTTGTGAATCCAGCAGAACAAACGCTTGTGTAAATAGTGCCACTGAGTGGAGCAGGACTGCTTGTGCACCTCTGAGGGCTCTGAGAAGCCCTGTCTTTGCTCAAATTTTGCCAGCTTTGCACATGCACATACACTTAGGTAGAGGATTTAGAAGTGCAGAGAAAGAGGTTAAAAACAAAAAGAGGCAGAGCAATGAGGAGTGGATGCCCTGAAAGCCTGCCCTGCACAAAGTGGACTTCATGCAACGCCTCCATGAGACACAAAGCCTCAGGAGCAGCAGACGTGTGAACAGCACGTGGGGCAGCCAGACCCTTTAGCCAGGCTGCAGCACAGCATAGGAATCCGCTGATGTTTCTATGACTTCTATTAACATTTAAAGGGAGAAATAACTGCAGTAACTATTTATATAAAATAACAACCATGGTTACTTTATTAATAAATGATTATGAGAAAATGATTCTCTCTGTAATCCATCTTTGTAAGGCAAATTCAGCAGCAATCTGTGGAGATGTGCACTTAATTTCATGTAGTTTCAGCTCAAAGTGCATTTTTAAATGGCTGCTATAAGCTCATGGATGCTATTTTAACATAGTTTATACCTACTTCCATCCCACATTGTAACATTTTTATTTTTTTCAATCATTTCTATGCCTGCTTAGGTTATATGGACAAGAGCATATTGAAGATGAAATTGTGATTTGCTTAGCTTTGGAAATGTCAAACTGGTCTCCCATTGCAACTGGCAGGAGGAGGATTTACAACTCTGAAAAATGTCGGTGTGCTGAGTACACCCAGAGAGAAGTGCTGAGTAGGGCAAACAGCCGCTACTCCCCACACAAGGAAGTCCTGCCACATTGCACCCGCAGCATGGTGGAAGGGAGAGACCTTCCCCCCCATCTCCCAACATCTGAATATGATGCCGATTGCTGACCCTGCCAGCGCAGAGGAGCAGGGTCTCCAAGGACCCCCTCCACTCACCGGCTGCACACAGCTCTGCTGCAGCCAGAGGAAGAAGCAGGAGGGAGAAGAGACTAAAGCCTGACAGCCGAAGGGAAAAACAGTGTGAGATGCAAACACAGCCTGAAGGCATCCCTGCAAACAGCGGTCACCTCTCGGTGCGACAGTGCTGTTTAAAACGGGCGTCTGTTTTCCCAGTGGAGCAAAATGTAGTGGACACCAGGGCAGAAAGTGGACCTGCAGGAGCCAGTGAGAAGCTGGAACACCGCAAGCAGACTGGCACCGGGTGCCCTGCAGCAGCTCCAGCCTGCACAACACTCATCTCTCGCTGCAGCTGGCAGGGGCTGCACAATTCTTCCCCTTCCAGGAACTGACATTTGATGAGAAAAATGCAGGCTATTCAGCTGGCATCAGACAAAACTAATCTTTCCATGCAAGTTTAGAACACGAAAGTAAAATTTCCACCTAATACCTTAAACACTTTGCAAAGCACCACGTGGAAAACTTACCTGGAGAAAATAAAGGCTCAGCCACATTCCACCCACAGGATGTGCCACACTTAAAAGCACCAAGAGTATTGCTGTGTCCCAGAAGGCTGCCTGCTGGAAAACCCCAGAGTAAACTCTCACTGAGGAGGAAAACTTTCCTTTGCTGTCATGTCAAAGATCCTGGCACAGTTTCTAAGAAATTCAGAAGACCTCCAAGCAGATTTTAATACTCCTAAAATGCAATTTCCTGGCAAGAAATTGAGACAGTACCACCAACCAGTAACAGGATTGGATTTACCGTATGCAAAGAAGAGAAAGGGGAGGCAGGGTGCTGCACTAGCCATACTGAAAGCTGCAGATCGGTGCTGTGCATCGTCCAACAAGTCAGACATATCAGTCCACGCTCTCTATCCTCTGATCCACGAAGAGGATGCCCAAAAAGCTGTTAGCATATGAGGATTTTCACTGGGCAAATTTTAAATAAAACCTCATTTTATAAAATCAAGAACTACGGTCTCGAGTCTGCAAATGCTTACAACTAAGCAAAGAAATCTCTCCACTGAATTCAGCAGTACAGCTTACAGGCAAAATGCAAACCACAGGAGTAATTTTTATACACAAGTTACATAAAGCATGCGTTTTAAAAGTACTTATATATACATTTTATCCACATGCATTAGTTGGGTGAACTTAATTTTTATAAACCCTTTACAGCTGTGTAATGCAGGTTGTTTGTAGATCTTAAAAAGTACTTCTCACATCCAGGAAGTGCACCTGTGCATCCATCTTCCTTCAGCTGCGCTTTCTGCCTGCCTGAAGGCAGGTGTGTGCTCCAGCACCAGCCTCAAGCTGCAGGCACCCTGGGCCTGAGTATGCCAGGCTGTTTTGTGCTTAAAGAGGTGCAGAGGGGTGTTCAGGACCCGGGTGCTGCCAGGCACGCTGCTGGTACTGCTGCCTGTGTATCATCCATCTACTTCAATTAGCAAAGCCAGAGCACAGAGCTTCCTACGCTCTCTCTGTGGCCTCCTGCCTGCAGCCCACCTTGCATGGGGAAGCCTCCCCCAGCCCTGGCCCATGCCTCCAGCAGGGCAGACACCGCAGCAGCACCGCCAGCTCCCAGTGCCACAGCTCGGCCACCTGCCTGCCCACAGCACAGCTGAGCAGAGCAGCGCTGCGGTGCAGAGCCCTCGTCCCATGCAGCAGCACGAGAGAGACAGGGTCCTGGGGGAAAGGGGCGCAGGGAGCTGTCACCTCCACTGGTTCAGCTGCAGAGGCACCTAAACATCACGTTGGGCTTTATTATCGCTATTTTAGCTTTTCAGCAGCATTTACCTTTCCGCACTCTTGGCTCAGTTAAAAACTGCGGAACAGAAGATGAAAAAAAGGCAGTCAGAGGCTGAACAAAAATGACAGCTTCTAGCTATTTATATTTTACAGCTCTGCCTTAAACATTCAGATGCACTGGACACGGAACAAAAATAATCAGCCAAGATTTTACTTTTAAGGGAAGATAGTGTAGTTCTTTGCTAATTACTGTAATTAATTAGTGTCATCTAAACATTAATTATTTATCCTGCAGTAAACTCAGCAATCTACCATACAATTCCCCTGACAGCGTGCTTATCACAAGGATGCCCTTATTAGGGGAGTACTGAAGAATTTCACTGTATGTATCCCTGTTATTTCAAAACCTGCTTAGAGAGGGAAGTCGGGTGGGTCACTTTTGGGGCTGTACCCCTGGAATTCTGCCTGCAATATCTCACGTAGGTGAGCCTGTTCCTGCAGCCGTGCTGTGGACTTCACTTGAGATAAACGCACTGGGAACTGCTCCTCCACACCATCATCAGAGGTTGCCCTTTTGTCATGTCTGTGCCAGAGTTTTCCTAGGCTCACTTATTCCCCTCCCATATAATGGGGTAACTCCTCCAGGAAAAAGATGATAATAATAATAATATGGCTAGATCTTGGCAAATTATTTTTAAAGACTGCTGTATCCGAATACTCCCTCTTTCTTCACGACAGCCAGCTGTAGGCAAACAAATAATTTCTATGAATATATAATGGTGATACGAGAGCAAAGGTCCAGTGTGACAGACACAGGTCTCTCTGGCTTTCGCTCTGTGCCACAGAAGCCAACAGCAGTGAACATGATTCTGACTGTGCTGTAAATCTGCACTGACAGGGGAATTTTTTGAGGCTTTTCTTCTATTGGAAAACATCGAGTGACTGAAACTGAATCATGTTCACAAGCAGAGATCATTTCTGAAGAACTGTGTGACGCAAAAGCCCTAGCAGGGAAAATCCTGAATGCGCGAAGCTAGCCCATCTTCACCCTTTCAAATAATAATATTCCAGCTTTCCACTTTACAATTATTTTAGTGTTTAGAGTGTTTAGTGGACATACTGAAAAAAAATACTAACATAAGGATTCACCAAGCTCAAAAAAGTCATTATTTTCTATGACTCATGCAAGGTATGACTATTCTTCACTAAAGTTCTCGTCTGAAGTCCTTGCAGAAGAAACAACAACAAAAGTAAGGGAGAGTTTGCAGGGTTTTTTTAAGATAAAATCATTTTGGTTAATCAAAACCTGAAAATTTCTTCAACTTAGTACTTCATGATGAACAATGAAAAATTAATAGTTAGGTAAAAGACAATCACTTTTCCTTTACAAAGATTTACAAACTCTCCCAGAAAGGGCTAAGAATTATTTTTCGTTGTTTTATTTCCCCAAATCTCTTCTCAACTTTATTATCTTTGAGATAAAAGAAAGCCTGGTCAGGATGCATGCCGCCTAAATTTTTTCCCCCTTACCTATGTATGTACGTATATCTCTACATTTACTCATAGCTGTAGATTATTCACAACAAATGCTCTGGAAAGCTGAAACCACTTTTCCTCTCCCTGGGTAAAGCTAATACTGATAAAATGCATCATGCATCTGTTCATGAAAAGCATGTGTTTGCATCATTCTGCTTGCAGCTGAAATCTCTGAAAGAGATTTTTCATTTTTTTACAGGAGGAAGGAAGGAAGGAAGGAAGGAAGGAAGGAAGGAAACTTTTAGCTTAAGAAGCAAACCTTGCTACCATTGCATAACAGGCAGAAAAGACACTGACCAAAGGTGTCTGTAGAGAAGGAGGGGCAGGCTGTGCTACCAGTATTGCCACTCAGCAGAGAAAGACATAGCCTCTCTGTGCAACGTACCAGCATGGGTTGTGTTATTTTTTTTTCCCCTGAAGGCCCTGTGGCAGCTCTGCCCATATCCGTGGGCTGAGTAATGACCTGGAGCCTGCCCTGCCACGATTGTTGCCCACCCCAAGCCACAGCGATGGACTTGCAAGCACGTCCCCTAGCAGCCGATGCCTGGCAGCAGACCTTATCGCTTGCACGCGCTGTGCCCACGCCGGCCCCAGCCCTGTGAACCTGCTGACATCTCATCTGCCAGGTCTCTCCTGCCCTCCGCACTCAAACACCTCCCCGTGCCTCCAGGAAAGCTGGCATCGGTTCCTACCATAACAAACTCAATCGTTCTCAGCGGTGCTCCAGCAAATAAAGTCATTAATTACGGCCTCTCTCCCCTACGCCGTTGGCTGGAGCGGCAATCAATGTGCAACCCCTCATTGCCTTCTCTCGGGGAGCGGAGACAGATGCCATAAAAATAAACTGCAGCCCACACAGAACCCTGCCAGTACGGCAGCAGCAGGCTGTGCCCAGTAACAGCCACCACGCTGCTCCAGCCTGTGCGGCAGTATTTATTTGGTCTGCCGCAGCCATGGGGGAAGGCATCCCATTAAGCGATCATTTTTATCTTATAACGTCAATTTACTTATACTGATTGGCTTCCTGCCGCCAAATATCAATTAAATTGCAAATGCCTGCTGAAGCTTATTTTCTGCTTCTCTCTCTTTTCCCCCATTTCCCTTTTTTCTTTCTCTCTCCCCTTCTTTTTGTTAGAGAGAGAGAGAGAGAGAGAGAGAGAACTCTATGTTCGAACATAATTTAATTTATTTCCCTTTCCATATCTCAAAGGAAAATCTATAACTCCCCCTGGAAGGCCATTTGCCCTCTGTTATTGGGAGCTGAGGTATCACAGCACTGGGCAATTTGTTTCAACTGACTATCGGCAGCCCATCAGGACTCCCGAGGACCTCTGCCATCTCAATGCAATTGTATCTGGTATTGCCATTTATGATTCGTTTTTAATAGGTGCTAGTAACCATAAGACTCCAAGGTTTCAGTTCACACACGGTGCACCCACTCCACTCCCTCCTGCCGTCACTGCCTCCTCCTCTACAATGTTCATCAGCTGCTGAAAGAGGTTTCCACTTGTGCCATGGACAGAGACTGTCGTTAGCTCAGTCTGCTGTTCCCTAACAGTTGTGTTTCTGGAGATGATAGGGTGGCCAACGCTGCTAGAGGTTATAAGCCATTCCCGTGACAAACAGCTAAACGAGTGGGTTTTGACAAATGGTGAGTACAAAGACCAAGCAGTCCGTGCAGAAGCTGTAGGTGGGCTCTCCCCACCATTGCAAAGGTAACGTGCTGCATTTGTGTGCACCCACAACCATTTCTCTTTGCCAGGTTTTCCCATAACAGCAGCACTCAGTCAACTCTGAAGTGAAGAAAAGGTCTCAACCAAGACATCACAGCTGCTTTTGCTTATATACCAGAATAAACATAAAGCATCTTCCCCTTATTGCTGTAACCCTCCAGATTCTGTGTCTGCTGCTGGCATAAGAGCCCAAAACATCCCAAGCAAACTAAAACCACATCATGATCTCCGACTGTAGAGCACAAGTCCTCTGTGCCTGCAGTGAGAGAAAAAGAGGACGGGAAACAAAGTCACAGTAATAGTGCTGGAGATCTAGCAGATGAATGTCAGTGTTAAAAATGAAAGGTCTCTGCAGTCATAGAATTTGGAAGATGACTGGAAGGGTAAAGTAGAGCAGAAGTGCACTTGGCCACACCAGACTGTGGCCAAGTGCACTTCTTTTCTGAGACAAGGGCTGGCTCACTGGCACATGATAAACAGATGACACTGTACAGTGCGGTGCTTGCAGGGCCCTAGCCTGGGCTGGCTCTCCATGATCCTGACTCCAAGTCTTGGATTTTC